GAGGGGAGAAGCGGCCAGGAGCGGCCCGCAGCGGTGCCCTCGGGAAGATGGCGCGGCACCGTGGCGCTCCGAAGCACCGCGGCCGCTGGAGAAACGAAACGTGCTCGGTAAAAGCGGTCCTCCCCTGGAAGCACAGCCCAGAGGGGCCTTGCAGGGAGGCAAAAGGGAAGTGCATGAGGCGTGCGTGCTAGAGGACGGAGAGGAGCTCAGCTCCTTACCTGTTAAGGCTGGCAGGCAGTACTTGGGTGGCCTGGGCCCTGGTGGTTTCGGTCTCACTGCAAAAACTGTGTCTCTCCTGGCTACTGAAGGCCCATCCCGTGTTGTATGTAATGCTTTTCAACACAGTGGAGCCCTTTCTCCTCTTCCTTTCCTACAGCTGGTATCTGCTTTGCACAACCTCACCAGGCACGTCGTGTACCGTGGCTTGACAAGGGCAGAAGATATCCTCTCTCTCTTTCCTGAAAGCTTCCACCAAAATCTGAAAAATCTTTTGACTAAGATAATCCTGGAGAACATGTGAGTGCTACCCTCCTGCCATTTGCTTTCAGCTGGAAAGTTAAAGCCTGTGTATCTAGTTTGATATGTGGATAGTTGGCAGCATGCAAAGTCTTGTTTCTATGAATGTTATGCGTGCCTTGGGCATAATCGCACAGGTTGGGATAGCAGAGTGGAATGGCAAACAAAACACAGCTATGGACACAGGGTTTTCCCCAGACTTTTGGAATGGGTGTGGGCCTCATTCACGTAATGCAAAGGCCCTTTTATCCTAACAATGCACCTGTGTGGTGGAAAAATGCTGCAGATGATGATGAAACCTAGAAGGCTAGATTTCAGTACTATAAAATCTGATTGGGTAGCATTTAGATGCTTGTCCACTTACCACCTTGGCTTAGGTGTGGAGGCACCATATGCAGTAGAGCATACATGAGGTGATGGCAGAGGATAGCAGTTCTGCATGCTTGCACTGCTTGTTAGCCTATTGCTTTGATAAGATCAGGGAGAAAGGTACATGCTATAAGTGAGCCACACTTACAGTAGAACCAGTTTGCCTACCATTGCCCACCAGTGACAGCCTTTCCTTGGCACTCACTGGCATAGGCAGTTTCTCTCCCCTACTTACTGCTGCAGCCCTGATGACCCTTCGTTCAGGGATAAGCACTGTGAATGCTTTCCCTGCCCTTTTTCCTTCTCCCCCCCCCCCCGCCAAGTACTGCTGATACTGATTTTCTCTTCTCCACTTTTTCACAGCTCTGCTTGGAGGAATGAAGTACAAGCAAGTCAGAGTAAGTAGTAGTTCACATCTTGATGCAATTAATGTTTTCCGACGTCATTGGAGCTTAGAGTTTAGAATAGTGCATTGTAATGTCTTTTCATAACATAGCACCGGGATACCCCCATTTGCGTTAGATAAAGCTGTATGATTGTGGCATCATAGAGCTTAGCAGAGGCCAAAAGCTTGTATTCAGATCTATGCTGCTTGTGCTAAATTGTTTCCAGTCCTCAAGCAATTCCATTTAATGTTCAGTCTGTTGCTACCTTGCAGAGTACAGTGTATAGCAAGTATTTGCAAAACATTTGGAAGTGAAGCACTCTGACCTCCCCATTCAAGTCCTTAAGTGATGTCCATATTCAATAACTGTGCACTATAAAGGATATGTATATGTTGGGGATTACCTTATCTTTGCACATCTAGTCAATTCTGTGCATTCTTTCTCTTTCGTGCATCAGGAGGTACACTGCGTGTATTCATAACTCTGCTTTTTCCTCACCTTTCTAAACAGCAATGTAATTAAGGAATGGAAACTTTAACAATAGCATCATGGGCAATGCATTATATCCCAGTTAGGTGTTGCATGCAGCTACAACACTTTGTTTTCTCCCAAAGAGGTTTTCCTTACAACTGTAGTACTTAGAGGCTTACAAATGAGAGCGGGTACATAACAGAGTACTTTGAGGTCTGCATCGATCCTCTTTGCCCTTTTCTTTGCCTGCAGAGGAGATAATGTCCAACAGCTAAACAGTGCAGCAGGAACTGGAAATACACTGTTCCTCGAGGTTTTAATGGAATATAAATAGGGAGAGGGAAGAAACTACTGTGTAATGCCAGTACAGTAAATACAGTAGTTGCTTACACTAAACAATGTTCAAGTGTTACCAAGACACGCAATGCTTTTTCCTGTATCCTTTACTCTGTCATGCATTAGAGGAAACGAGAGCAAACATGACACGCTAGCTAGGTCTTCACAGCCCAGAAGCAAGGCTGGGTGTGTGGCTCTTGGAGTACTACCCAGGAGCTCTGCTCTGACTGTCATGTCTTTATATTCATTAGATGAATATTTAACCCTCTTGGAATGAGATTGTGTTCTAGGAAATGATGGATTATTTTAGTATTGTATTGATGAAATATCTGACATATATTACATAGGGATCAAGGCAGTAACTTAAAGAACAACTGATTGATCTATGTTAACTTAAAAACATGGATGGTTTCCTGCCCCTCCCAATCAATCTTTGCAAATTAACATACAAGGCTGAACAGATGCATTTTATGTTGTTGCATATGCTGCCAAGTGCTGGCCCTGACAGACTGTGAACTGGAATTTGTTCCAAAAGCAAGAGCAAGGCAGCCAGTTCTTCACTGCGCCCTGGAGCTCTGCTCAGGGGAGCAGGAGGAGGAGGGAGAGCCTTTCCCCAGGTGAAAAGAGAAGTTTCTGAAGGCACTGTTAGGAAGCAACTTAAGCATTTGGAGTCAGTAGGAAGGCTAGCAATCAACCCTTGGGGAGGAAACTAAGCATCTCATGGTAGGCAGAATCCAGAAAGGCTGCAGTTGCCTATGGAGACAGCTCGCTCTTTAGTACTCAACAAAGATTTAGTCTTTGCCTCTTCATCCCCCTCTGGTACCCTTAAACAGATGTCAAATAACTGCTGACAACCAGTTTTGATAAGGCTTCGCAAAGACACTCAAACCTACCAAGCACCACAGCCGAGATTTTGAGTTTGAGACTAAATGATCACCACCCTCCAGATCTTTCATGGGGTTGATCCTATGTTTCATTCACACTTCTTTGAAAATCACTAGCTGACCTAAACAGGAACAATGTTTCTTCAGGCACCCTGTAGCCATTTATTCTGACATAGTTACAGCAGTTAAGCCCCTTAGCTGCAAATGCCCTTTCCAAACAGAAAGGGTTTGTCTTTGTTTTCATGTCCTTAGTGTGGGCTTTTTCTAGTGAGAATGTATTGTTTTTCCCAGGAAACTGGATGCTGCACTTTGGAGCATAGCTCAGCTCTTACCAGAAAATGGAGTTGAAAAAGGTGCAAGAGATGTTCTGAGTCTTATAAACGTGACAGTACCAAAGTGGGAATGACTTTAAGTATGCCCTGTTAAACTGCACCTTACAACTTGTTTCCTTTACATATATTTTAAACAACCTAACAGACATTTTCCAAATTTCTGGTTTCTGATGGTAAATTGCACTTTACCACTGGGCAGTCAAGGATTCAAGCCTCACTGCCTTACTGGCAGCTGAAAGACACTGTTGAAAAACATTATACTCCTAGGAACTGACAAAGAGCACTTGCAGACAGCCTGTTGGTGCCAGAGTTTTGTTGGGAGAACCTTAATCTCAGCTTTTATGCCAGTTTGCATGGTGCTTAGGGACTCTTTGAAGGTTCATAGTGCAGTGAGCTCCATTAAGTACACACCATCATGAGAGAATATCTCTGTCTCCTCTCTGCAAAAGATAACTGCACAAATTTCTTGTCAGGGCAGCCAAGTCAGACCTGTCCTCCTTTCCTTGGAAGGCTCATGGGGTCTCCAGCCCTGAACTATTGGTGTCAGTATTGCACCAGACTGTTGAATGATTTCTGTTAGGCTACATCTAATTAGGATGATGTCCTGCCAATTTGTTAAAAATATTGAAGGTGTATGAAGATTGCAGTTTACCAACACATATGCTGTACTGCAGGATGCTTTAGTTCACAGGTTGGGGAGCTTGAAATAACATGTTTTATACTGCTGTATTTTAAGAGCATTCCTGTGTGCTTTCTTACTGGTTACAGAACAGAGCAATAAGCATGTAGGTCCCAGAGCAACTCACGATGAAAGACTAGTTGAGTGTTGCAGGCAGTGAGGCAGGGGATGAAGAGGTGAAGAAGACATCTTACCACTTCCCTTCTCCCAGCTGCTTTGTGAATTTACCTATGCTTGTCTTGCACTGTACCATACTTGCAAGTGATGGTGGGAGAACCCTGTCTGTCCTTTCAGTGTCATGAGGAGGCCTTCAGAGACTGTCTTATTGCAGAGTAAAAATTATGTGAAACCACATAGTGCTAGTACCACTAAAGTTGTACACTTCCCAGGGCCAGAAGAGGAGAAGCATGTACAGGATGGTAGTCACACGTTCTAGGGTCTGGTGTCATCATGTGCTGCCGGGCCTAACAGACCCATTTTTTTAATCCCTCAGTCTCCCTGCCTCGGCTGGTTGACATGGACTGGAGGGTGGACATCAAGACGTCTTCAGACAGCATCAGCAGAATGGCAGTCCCTACTTGCCTGCTTCAGTTAAAGGTAATGTCATTGCCTGTAAAGGATACAGGATCAAAATAATCAAGTCCAACACTTGACTTACCAGTGGTAGCACAAGGCAGTTCAGACAGGCATCTGGTGCTCATCTGTTGCCTGGTGGGCAATTAACAGACTTTCTCAGAGATGATCTTTGAAATACCGCAGAGCCTGGGAATGATGTCGCTGATGAAAGCCCTGTTTTTCTTGCAAGGGAGAATTTTATTTGAATGAGGCTGCAAGAAGGCATCATGTTTGTTCCTGGTGTTCTCTACAGAAAGAAAGAAGAGAAATTATGAAGTTATCACCCTTTAATTCCAAGCCACTCATCAACATGTTTAGCTGACTGCATTAGTTGGGAAATTAATAACTTCCTTCACCAGCCACATCCATAATTTGGGGAGTATAGCTAAAGTTACTGCTTATATTCTACAGAGTTCTGGATCTCCCAGCCAGTAAAAATGGGATAGGTGGTTTTCAGAGGTGGAGGAAAAAAAAAAAAAATCTAATTTCTGTGTGTGAGGTGAGGTTAAGTATCCTATGCAATATCTGCTAAGATGCTTTTGATATGGATATGGCTTCCTGCCACAAGTTTTTTCAGAGTTTCCCCATACTTATGCCAGTATATGCTTACTTGCACTCTGTTAATGGGAGCGCACTTTACCAGTGAGACACACAGCTCAGAAAATGTGCCATTGGTCCAGCATGGAGCTGGACGCCAAGTTTAAAGCATTTGTCTTAATATGTCTAAACACTGACTTTCTTAGTGGCACTAGAAAAACACATGAATGATTTTTTCATACAGCATTCTGCATTCCTATTCATACAGTCTGCATTCCTATTTTCAGATTCAGGAAGATGTTGCCTTATGTGGAAATAGTCCTGTTGTTTCTGCACTGACTGTGGAACTGAGCAAAGAAACCCTGGACACTATGTTAGAAGGTCTAGGAAGGATCCGGGACCAACTTTCTGCTGTTGCAAACAAATGAACATTCCAGCAGTGAGCATGGGACATATTCTCTACCTACAGCTCTCATAAGTTGCAGCGTAGTGTAACATGTTTTCTGTTTTAACAAAATTCAAGAGGCTTTTTTATTTAATTGAGTTAATAAGATAGCTTTTTAAAAGCTAACAGTTAAATATTCTTTTGGTCTGATGCCAAAAAGTGTTTTCCTAATATGTTGTTGAACAAAAACTGGCCTTTATTTCAGAAGAGGATTTGAGGGCTCAGAGCTTGGCTTAATCACAAGGGTCATAACTGGGAATAGCAAGTAGCTGGAGCCAGTGAAGCAAGTGCTATCTCTCTGCCCTGAAATTAGGATCTGAAAGGCTCAAGCTGGTTAATGGACTGCCTGCCAGCATTAGCAGACAAAGAAGGTGCTTCTCTCTGGAATGTGCATATAGTGAAGTGCATGCTGGATGTAGCGTTCGCTCTCTCAATGAAGCCCAGCCATGGTACAGTTTGCTATTACATGATAACGCTTTGAAACAGGGCAGTTATGCTACAACACATTCCCTTCTGATCAGCTTCATAGCACCATTTGCAAAATGATTAGTCTGAACATCTTCAGCAGCAAGTAATTTCCTCCTTCTGTTTGAAAAGAAAAAAAGTAATTCATGTTTGGGTTTATTGGACCCTGGGCTTTGCCTTCGCTGCACAAAAGCCAGACTGGGAAAGTAAAGAACTGATGGCCATTGTCTGTACTGTAGGAAACCCTTCTGTGGCAATATATGCCTATACTTCCCCAGAGTGTTCTGTTCTTTGTGTAAATCTTCATTTAATTAAAAAATGAACTGCTAATTGATTTTTTGAGTCCTTTTCAGCCTAGAAGAGATGCTGTCCTGGGTTACCTCAGCCTCTTTGTGATGGTGCCTAACGGATGTTCACATTTGTTGCTGAAGAGGGATCTTTTGTTTCCTGTTCAAATGACTTAATCTTTTAAACTGTCTTCTCCTCTTTTATAATACAGTTGCAGGGCACCTTTTTCCATGGGCACCAGCTCTGTGCAATATTACAGGTGATGACCCTGACCTAAAACTTTATAAATATATATGCATTGAAAGTGTGGAGGAGTAAGTGCAGAAAATGAAAAAAAAAATCAGACTCTTGTTTCTGATGAGCTTCTATAATGCTCCAAACTGAAAGACTGGGTCCAAATGCTTTGTTCATGGCAAAGTCCCACCTTTCATAAAACATTTGACTCTCTTTCAAGACGCAAAACATTGTTTCTTGTATTTGGAAACACGAAATCATTCAAGAAGTGTGCATAGACTACAGAACTGTGTTAGTTAACTCTCCCCACAGAGCAGGCTAGACTGCAAGTGTAAATGAAGCCTGTGCCTTTAAAAGATACTGGTGTAATACAGCTTGTGCATCAAGATGAGATGTATGATGAGTCACTTGTTAAGGTCTGCTTTGAGCAAAGATTGTAACGCTTAGTACAGTATTAAGGTAAACTGGTAAATTTCATATATAATAGGGAAATCTGAAAGGAGAAGAGGGATATTCAAGAATTTGTTCCGTAACATTCAAGCTGTGAAAAACATCTGTAACAGACTTCTTCAGTTTGAGGAAGTTTTGTCGGCTTTGCAGCCTAGTCTTAAAAAAAATCAAATAGTTTATATTGTACTGTTTATTTTAGAAGGTAAGAATCACTGAGGAAGTAAATGATGCATAATGAAGTATTTGTAGTGTCAGAGGAACAGAAGTAGTCAATACACAGAGGACATCCTTGAGGTAAATACTGAAGTTATAGTCAGAATGTTGTAGGCCCTAATGAAATGAAGAACTGATAGTTGCATAGTTCTCATGCAAAACTATTGTACAACTGTAGAATCATTGTAAAGAAAAGAAAGACGTAAAACTGAAAAGGCTTTTCCAGCATCAGAGTGGGTGCTATCTGCAGGTAGCTAAAAGTTGCTCATGGAGACTTAATAAAGGGGGCGGTCCGCTGGATCAGAGGCATGACAAACAGCTGATGAATTCAAGGGCTATATCAAGTCATTCTGCAAGAAGATACTGGTATTTTCTAGCCCAAGATTTAGGAGCCTATGAGAACTTGCTTCAAATCTTTGTGTAAAGTGTTAGCTGTTTTCTTGTTGGCTCTTACCATGCTGCCAGAAGAGCTGAGACTGCTCAGAAAAAGGTATATAAAACAAGAGAGGCTGAGTAGGACTGTCATTACCTGACCAGGAAGACTACTTCTCATTGAAGTCCTATTTACAGAGACTGCTACACAGAGAAAGAATCTGCTATTGCAGGCAATCATATGTGATCTTTTTCATACAATGATTGCTCTCTTAAAATCAGTTAGATTTTTATCCTCCCTCCACATATTGCTGCTATTTAGTAGGCTAGCCTAAATGTACTCAGCACTACTTTATTATCAGCTTGTTTCTGTGCCAACACTGTCTTTAGCTTACTTCTCTCTTACCTTTCCATTTTCCCCTCATACTTGTGAAGCAGTGAAATCCCCCCTCCACATTTGATGGCTAAGCCTAGTAAGCTCTGTATTCTTTGCCTTCATCATAGGGGTCATTCTTCACTTACAGTTTGCATCTTCCTTGAATGGGGTCACCACAATTGTTCATTTCTGGAGAAGAATAGTCTAAGGACATGAATAAAGAATAGAGCTGTCATAGTATGTGAATCATCTGAATGAATTCCTCCTCCCAGGAAACCACAAGCCTTCATTGTCACATGCAGCTCAAAAACTTGCATCTTCATTCCAGTATTTGAGGAACAGAAAAACCACCTCCTCCATGTACACTATCAAGTGATAACTCTTAGTTACACTAAGTAAAACAGTGATAAATTTATTTGTAAAAATCAACTATGCAAGTTAAATTCAAATTGTAATTAATTTCACAATTCAGACGTGTTGGAACTGACTGTGTCGAAGTGTTGAAAAAGCATTTAAAACATTAAATCCTACTTTGTATTATTCAAAACAAAATTTTTCTTCCTCTTACTGCAAGAAAATGTGTACTTCAGGGTGTTCAGGCTAAAAGTTGTATAGATGATGTGATTGAGAGCAAGAAGAACTTAGGAAGAAAATGCCTTTATGATTCCTAGCTTTCACTTCAATTAATGATCTTTAAACATTGGTTTAAAATAGTAGAAGACTTTACAAGACTCATGATAGTTTGGTAAAGGTATAGTAGTTACTCTGTGTTTAAGTATGGGGTTTAATGTGTGAAATTTACATATTCAAGCTCTTCCAAAACTATCATCTATACAAAGTTTTTGCTTTGTCTATAACTAAGGTCTTATTATTTCACTTCAAACAAGTTACTTTGTTACTAGTAATCTAATTTAGAATTGTTTTCACCTAAGTAAAAAATATTAGTTTCAATTTGTTTGGTATCTAATTTTCACTGGAGATAATAGAGTTTATATTTAACAATATATATGGGACCCACTGCCCAGATTAGGACTGAAAATAGCTTTTTTGGTAACAAATCTGTACTAGATCTCTTGTTAAGTGAACATCATATCTCTTAAAAATGACAACAGCCCAGCTTTATCTCAGTTCTTGGAATAATGTATCTAGCAGTGTAATTTCATCAGCTGCTTTATAACTATAGTTATTCTAAGTCATAATAACCTCTACAAAAGTAACCAGTTTAATGAATTCACCAATCTTTCTCACATATCCCTTAAAAGATTTATCTTACTAAGCTATAGAGAGGTAAAGTAGGTGCTTATAGTTGCAATAAATCAGTGGCAGCACTGGGAGTTGAGGAATCCCACCTCCCCAGACTCTCTTCTAACTTCTTGACCTCTTAGTCAGAAACTTTATTCCATTACACAGTAATTACACTAACTGTCATATATTTTTCCCCCATCTACACAGATGTTGTGCAGGTAGTTGCTGAATTTTTGCTCAATTTTTAATGTAAGAGAGGTTAATAATGCTTGGGGCATTTGGGCCTTGCTTACTAAATAACTGTCACCTCCAACGTGTAAATTGATTAACATTATGTAATTCAGTCTCCAGTTGATTTACCACTTTACAATAACCACATTGGGAATACCACTGCACTAGCACAGCCCTGTAGCATTACAGTGCAACACCTTGGCTTACCTGCCATCAGCATTCAGTAATCCTGCTCAGCATTTTCAAACAGCTCTCCCAGTTTGCATTCATCTGGCCTCTGTTTGAAAGCATTACAGCTGCATTACAAAATGGTGAATTAAACCTCACAAATTTACAGGAGGGGGCTTTTGTAGCAAGCCTGATGAGAATGTGCAAAAGCTCCTGAATTTTCTAGTTACACTCAAAAATCCATAGGTATCCTTAGAAGCATCACTGTAGGCACCAGTTTTTGAAGTGGCATATACGTATGTGTGAAAGCTAATGTGTTATGCTGCAACTGGGCAGTAACTAGATCATCTGCTATAGCTTTCATAATGTCCCTGTACTCTACAGGGCATATGTGGCAGTCGCTGAGCAGTCCTTGCCATTTTAGGTGCATAAGAACCTGACTGTTCCTGCAGCTGCTTAACGCTTTATAAACCTCTTTTCTGGGGTTATTAATGCGTACGAGTCTTGCCACTGACATTGCTGCTGCTGAAGTACGTATGAAGTATATAACAAAAATACCAATGGTGTATCCACTGTGTGACATAAACTCCCTGTCTTATTTTACCGCATCTTACAGGAAAAAGAGGGACCACAGTAGGTTCAGAGCTGGCATTGCAAGCCGGCAAGCTTCCTAAGCCTTCCCCCTCAACCTTGGTCTTTCACAAAGAAAGAAGAGTGAGAATGAAAGGAAGGAATGAAATAAAACATCAACTTTCCTGGAAGCGTAAATGCCTTTTCCCCAGGAGATGGCGAGCTTGGTCTCCCAGTTCTATTCCCTCACCAGTTCCTCGGCAGCAAGCAGCAGTCTGGGCTGTCCTCCAAAGCTGGGAGCATCGAGTGCCTGCAACAGCCCAAACAGAACCATTCACCAGCAGCAAAACAGAAAGAGGGATATTATTGAC